TGTTCATTTTAATAATCATATTTTTTATTTCTGACATCTGGAGGGAGGGTCCATTGCTTTAAAATGTGTAGACATTTTAGACATTATTTTACAAGACAATACAATTTTTGAATGTCACACAAGGATCACAGTTTCATAACACTACATGCATATAAAGACAATTTTTAAAAGTTTCTCTTTTTTTTACAGAAACAACAGGAGAGGTCAATAAACTTCATCAAGTAAAGTTTAAATTAAAGTTACCAAAAATAAATATTTAAAAAGTAATACTCTAAGTGCACTAGTATATGGCTAATGATATCCTATTTCCTCCCAAACACATGGGAGTTGTTAACGCTCAAAGATTTTAAACTCTTTTGATGCATTGCCATTTGAGAGGATGGGCTACAACTATAAAGAATCTGTATACAATTTAGCAGACTGGTTTCTACAAGTCCAGCCTAGAATTTCCTTCCTTGCTTCCCGCAATTTGCTGACATTTCCCAGTGTGTATTTCTGTTTCTGCTTTCCCCTTACAATTTATAACTACCTTTGGGGCACTTGTTTAAAAATTGTTCATTGGACAATTGTTTTTAAATATGCTATTAACTTACTGCAGGCTAAAATCACATTGGATTCCTATAAAAGAAGATGAAACTTGCAAAACAGTATAAGCCATTCAACTGTTAGCTTTTCTGGTTCTGCTTCTCTAGGAAAAGAAGATTGAGGAGGCTTAGCAGATCTTAGTAATCCTGAAAGTAAGAACACTACACTGTCACGGAAGTACCTGTAATAATACTAACCCAACTTCTTTGTATTTGTGCAAATGATACAACCTGTCTGTGAAATTGTCTTACGCTTGAGCCAACTTTGACTATGCTGCAGTGAATTTGTGCAAAGATGCAGAAGTTCCAATCATACGCTTTTGTTATCAGAGGTTTGCCCATACCTGCACAAGGATTCCAGGTAAAAAAAAAAATCCATGTAACATCAGTCAAGCCAGGCTGATCTTATCTATTTCTTTACTAACTTCAACATTTTTAAATGGATAAAAATGTGGTGGGGTAGGAGAAGACCAAGTGGATAGTTGTGAAACTTCAAATACGACATGAGGCTGGGCTAATCACTTAGCTAATAATTAATAACCAACTGGTAATTCTGATTAAAATATCTAGGTTTTGCAAATCCAAACTCAACAGTCAATTGGGTTAATAAAATGTTTCCTACTTGATCTGATCTATATATATAGAGAGATATATATTTGCCAGATCAGCTTGGGGCTCTTTTATTTCTTTATTTTGGCACAAACATTCTATAAATTCAGCTATAAATTAATAGCAACTGAGCAGGCAGTAAATGTATAGCTAAAGGATTTTGGAGTCACAGTACAAAGCTCAGTAAGAATGTCAGCCTAGGCTGCTATTAAAATAACAAAACAAATTCCATGCTTGGAATCATTAGGAAATGAAGCGAAAATGAAAATGTTAGTAATAACAAACTCATGCCCTTATACAAATCTATGATAAGATTTCCCTTGCATATTACAGAGCTAGAGAAGCTGCAAAAAGTAATAATCAAAATAATTAGGAAGCTGGAACGTCTCCTTTGCAAAGAGAAACCACAGTCAATGGACTGTTTAATATGGAAAGAAGGAGGGGATGGGGACATATGATAGAGGTATAGGTAATCTTTGACTTACAACCTCTTGTTTAATAACGTATATTATTATAAGGGCACTGAAAAAAGACCTATGACCAATCCTCACACTTACAACTGTTGAAGCATTCCCAGGTTCACATGATTAAAATTTTGATGTTTGGCAACCGGCATGTATTTATGATAGTTGCAGTGTCCAGGGATCATGTGATCACCTTTTGTGACCTGATAGCAAAGTTAATGGGAAAGCTGGATTCATTTAATGACCATGTGATGCACTTAACAACTGCGGTGTTGTTGCAAAAAAGATAGCACAATTGGGTAGAACTCAATAACTGCTTTGCTTAGCAATGGAAATTCTGGTCCAACTATTACCTAACTATAAAAGCACTGCATAGATGACATGGAAAGCTGTTGGGGACATCCACCAAAATATATGTAGGGAGATTTGGAACACAAAGTATATTTAAAATTATGTTTTAAGTTATGTAGTAGTGGCAGTCTGTTGTAGCAATGGCAGTCAATTTAGGTGATTTTAAAAGGGGATAGACAAGTTCGTGGAGAATCAGACTTTCAACAGCTATTAATGCTGATAGCAACTTTTCCAACTAACCCATCTTATTAAAAGGGTCTACTTCTTGATTTTTTGCCACATAATCTAACACAGCCATCTTCCTACAATGATGGTTGTACAACGTCCCCTGAATTCTAAGCAGCATGTCTTAAATATCAACAACTAGGAAGTAATAGGACTATTCAGCTTGTAATGCACCCAGTTCTACTCTTCTTGTGTTATTACTCTGCATTTATCATCTTTGTTCCTATTCTCCTCCCAGAAGCAGAGAAATGGAAGTATATCAGGTAAGTGAGATAATATTTTGTAAGTCCTATGTTTTACTGTATAGGTCAGTGTTTCTGAACCTTGGCAACTTTAAGGTGTGTGGTCTTCAGCTCCCAAAATTGGAGTTGCTAGCTGGAGAATTCTGGGAGTTGAAGTCCACATATCTTAAAATTGCTAAAGTTGAGATGTTGGAAAGAAGTTCTCAAGATAGTTGTAATGGACCTACATGAAGAAACAAATAAAGCATATGTGCAAAGGTTAAAAAGTATTAATTCTTATTATAATTCCATCCACTTTTCAAGGAGTTTCCCAAATACCATGTCAAGTTTTATGCCTTCTCTTAGATGCTGGTGCAATGCAGCATGATCATTTGTAATGATTTTATCTTAAATTCTACATGTACAAAATTAAGATTCCCATAGCAGCAAAGAACGATTACATCATTTTTCTTTGTTTTTATGCTAGCAGTACAAGACTTCAAAAATTTAATTAAAGCCAGTTGAAAACTATTTAAAACTGTCTTTTTATTATTCTATGGACGGTTAAGTCTGCATTTCTAGTGTAATCTGGTGTGTTCAAAAATCCAATTTCCAAAAGGAACTTAAAAAAAATACAGAAAGGTCAAAACAAAATATAATTTTAGACTGTGCCCATCTATGTCTCACTTTAGAACACAAAGAATTGTCCAGTTTCTGTGTTCTCTTGATCCATTGCAGAATTTCACGTAATCTCAAAATATCTAGAGGCGTCATATTAAGGAATACTGCCTTAATTTATATTAGACTCATGCATGTTATACAGAGTTCCATTCAGTTACATTTTCTGCTCTTGACAAGCTCTTAGAATTATTGGTATTCTCTTTGTTTCCCCACAGTCTCTGTCTAATAATTCATAAGTTGTAAAGTTGATATAACGTTATCTGCAGTTTTGCATTTACTATGCAGATTTTTTAAATAAAAAAATGCAAATAAAAATCTGGGAAATAATTAATGGGATCAGAGTAGAAATAGAAAGTAAATAATTGTTTCTTCCCCTGAGATATTTAAGACTTTTAAGTGCTATTTTCTTTAGGAAGAAAATTTTCCAGTTTTGGGAGGATTCCTCAAAAATAAAATAGCCTTTAGAGCGATACAAAGCATTCAAAAGAATATTTTTGAATGCTTTGGATATTTTTTTGGTAGTGCAAACCACTCCTTGTAAGCAGATGCTCTTTCTAGAAAGTTCAGCATGGATAATTTGAAGACTTTGTCTGATTATTCATATTATCCATATGTCTATGTGTACATAGGCATTTGTAATGGGAGCACCAGTGAAGTAAAACAGGTATGTATGCTCATATATCCACAGACAATCAGAGAAAGTCTTTGAAAAACAGCTGCAACAACTCTTGTGAATGACAGGGCTGCTTTAATGCTTCAATGAAGGGGGACTTTCTCATAGCAACATACTTTGCAAAGGACCCTTTTTAAATGTTTGGCACAACTCTAGTACCATCTTCAGAACACAAGTTAATCTCTTTCTCTATGCTTCTGCAGTTTCTACAATTAACATTAAAAGTCACCCTGGGTGTTAATGACAGTTATACAGTTGAGAACACATAACTGCTTCTTTTAGGGGAACATAAATCACTTCTCCTTGGGAAGTCTTTACACTAGAGTAATCCACCAACCACCCCAATGAATTCCAATTGTTCCAACTCCCGAGTGAGGCAATAGCTCACATACAATCTTAGTATTTTACTATTTATAGCAAATTATATCTGTGAGGAAGAACACATGGTTGTTTTAGGCCCTCTCACAACCAATATTACTAAAACTTCATTGTCTTTTGATGTTTCTTTCTTCTTTTCCTTTTTAAAAATTATTTTCTTGCTAAGTATCTGAGACCACCTGTTCCCATTACTCCTTGAGTCCATATGGTTTCTAATAGTTCATGACTGCAGCTTTGCCTTCCAGAATTGGATGTCCATAGCAGAAAATCTCATGCTGAAGAGTTCTGTGAATGTTAACAATAGATGGACTTTTCATTTTAGACACCTGAGAATCTGTCAACATTTTGGACACTTGAGGGATTAAAAAACAAAAACTAAGTGATAAAGTCATTTATATGTGTGCATTTCTTTCACTGTGCTACACTCTGGCCAACCATCAATTTTTAAAATCTGTTTCTTAACTCTTCCCCTTTGCCTTTTAAAAAAGGCCTGCCTGGATGAGATGGAAGCATTTCATAATACTTTTTGGACTCAGATAAATGCAGGGTTTCTGGAGATGCATGTAGAACTCTTTCTAACCTACTGCAGTATCAGCTTCATTAAAGTCAAGGAGCAGGATTCTCAAACTGTCTGGGCTCTTGGTAATTATCTGTTTGTACATGAAGTATGAAGGCCAGATCCTGAAGTTGAAACTCAAATACTTTGGCCACCTAATGAGAAGGAAGAACTGGAGAAGAGCCTAATGCTGGGAAAGATTGAGGGCAATAGAAGAACGGGACGACAGAGAATGAGGTGGCTGGATGGAGTCACTGAAGCAGTAGGCATGAACTTAAATGGACTCCAGAAGATGGTAGAGGACAGGAAGACCTGGAGGAAAGTTGTCCATGGGGTCGCGATGGGTCAGACATGACTTCGCAATTAACAACAACAACATGAAGTATGGGATTCATATTACCCAAGTACTCATACTGTTTTTGCATTATTACTTCAGTAATTACAACTTCAAAGAATGAAGTTAAGACATTATATGACTATGTTATGCTTTCAACAGTGTATGGATCTTTTTCACTTGTACATCTGTCTACCAGGTAGTAGGGATGGGAGGGAAGGGAAAGGGGGATGAAAAAATATTTCTTTTGGAACAACAAACATGGAGATTATTAAAAATGGTAAAAGCAGGGTCTATGGTCTTTTACAGACAGAATTTAATGACGGAGATTGCAACATTCTTTTGGAACAGACACACATGGACACACGCACATTGGATTTGGTCAAATGTTCAGTATGGAATTATTTGGTAATAAAGATTTCAATACAGGGGATGTCCAGATCTGTTGGACTAAAATAGCAACATGGGAATGGTGATAATGTTCTAATATTGGGGATAATGTTCTGTAAAACAAAAAAGACTTTTTAAACTTTAATTGTTCAGTTGGGAGGGCTTGATGGCTCAGTGGTTAAAGACACCGAGCTTGTCAGCTGGAAAGCTGATTGTCTGGGTTTGAGACTTGAGTGCCGAATGATGGGGTGAGTGCCTGTCCTTGCTTCAGCTCCTGCCACCCAGCAGTTTGAAAGCATGCAAATGCTAGTAGAAAAATAGGTACCATTTCAGTGGGAAGGTAACAGCACTCCATGCGCCTCAGCATATGGTCATGGTGGCCACATGACCACAGAAATGTCTTCGGATAATGCTGGCTCCGTTGGCTAAGAAATAGAGATAAGCATTGCCCCCTAGAGTTGGACAGGACTGGAAAGGGAAACCTTTACTTTTACCTACCCAATTATAAATTTACTAAAAATACAGGTTTTGTGTATGTGTGTGCGTACCTTTATTTTTATCTAAACAGAAAAATATAGTACTTTGGAATATCTGAAAATTGTGTAACTTTTCCAGAGATGAGTGATATTTTTCAGTCTGGAGGCCCCAAACTATCAGCCCAACTGAAACTGCTTAGTGGGTTGGGACTGAACTTTGGACTGGAGAGTTAAGTGTGGGAATGCAAGCACGTCATCTCCCAAAGGACTTGTGCTCCTTTTCCATTCTTCTTTTTCTGTTTTTAGTTGAAAAGTAGCATCACTGAAATTTAGCCAATTTGCTGCCAAATTCAGGTGGCATGATTTGAGCCCATTTTTTTTTTTTTTTTTTTTGCAGGGCCTTGGGTATTTTAAGTCTTACAATCTTCATTTCCCCACTTATTATCCCCTCAAAAAGGCCACTAAAATCTGGCCTTTTTGTGGCTGAAGAATAACCAGAGGGCTTCAAGGGTGGGTGGGTGGAGCTGGTCATCTGTAGCCAATCATTTTGTGATTTATGTCTAAATATGGGTTCCGACAATCACAATCATTTCCTTTAAAATGGATGATTAATAACTATTTAATAAGATACTTTAAAAAAATCATTTGAAGGACTTTTTATAGGCAAACCCACTAAGTAATTTTGATTATATATAAAAATAAAATTTGGAACATCTAGATTTTATATACACAAACCCACTGAGACCCTGTTTGACTTGCAATAAGAGGAGATGTTCCACAGCTGCAACCTCTCCCCATCCGTTTCCTCTAGAAAGGCCCAATAGCCACATTACATCTCCTTTCTGTCTGAATGCATTGAAGGAGCCCTTGAAGTCAGCAGCTGTGGAAGGAAATGCAATATCCTAAATTAGCCACTTGTCTGGAATGGTATATGGTTTCTATACCATTCCATTCTACTCCATTTCATACCATTCTAGAATGACATACTCTATACCATTCCAGCCCCTTGTCTTGAATGATATGGAGTCTCCTGCTTCTGCAGGGGGTTGGACTAGAAGACCTCCAAGGTCCCTTCCAATGTTGTTATTCTGTTGTGAAGCATGCCTTAGCAAGGGAAAAAAGCTAAAATACAGTGAGTCCAGTGGGTTAAGAACAAATTTGTGAATTCATCCTCTGCCATATACAGTGCATATACAGTAGCTGTGTCCCACAATGAACATTCTGGTTGTTGCTTTATTTGGCACCTCTATTAATGATATGGTTTAGGTGCTTTGGAAGATAATCCAATTGACCAAATATCACATCAAGCGTATCAAGTCGAGAAAATGTGACTTTAGTGCCAGTCACATAAGCCTGAAATAACCTGCTACGAATCATAAGTTAGTACCAATTATTGTTCTGTTAAGACATAAATACCTAACAATAGGTACAAATTGTATCAATGCATTACATTAAAAAAAACCCAGAACAAAACAATATGGTTTTGCTTAGAAATATTGTAACTTGTTAGCTGGATAGGGAAGAAAGTGCTTCCATTTTTAGTAATAGCAGCTAAGGAAATGCATCACACTGGATTACATGCAGTGTGTTAGGTGCAGGAAAAATGCATTTGCTTTGGGCCTACTGGCAAATCCCATGGGCTCATCTTTTGCTTCTTCTGCAGCAACTGATTCTTCATTTTTTGGGGATGTGAATATTCACCCAACTGGCTACGTTACTCTTCGTCTTCCTGAAATGTGCTTAGAAAAGGCACTGAGAAATCTATCACACTCACAATTACAGTTGCTTTTTCTCATAGAAAAGCAAAAGAAAGAAGAGAACATTGCCTGCCAGTAAATGCGAACTCTGCAGTCATTCCTTCAATCCATAGAACTCTGTAAAAAGCTCTGTAAAAAGCAAGTAAAGGCTGGCAAGAGGCATGGGGCCATACTGTTGGAGAAACAATAATTCATTTTCTGCTTTATTTGATACAGGATGCACAATTAAATATATAGTTGAACAAACTGCAAGCAATTATTTAATGTTTCTCTCTCCCTGTTATTCAAATCTATTGGATTATGGAAAGCCTAGGAACCTCTTGACATATCAACTACCATACCAACGATTCATTTCCAAGAAAAAATATTCCACTTTTGCACCACTCTTCCCAGCTATTAAATTGGATTTTCTTTTTTCTCACCCAGATGCAAAGTTCCAAAGGCATATATGTCTTGTTGGTTGCATCATTTCCAGGGCTATCATTAACATCCAGCAGTTCTTGGAACTCAAGCATCTAAATAGATTCTATCAGTAATGCCTGTTATGGACTCGGTTTTAATCCCTACCTCAAATAATCAAAGAGGCTGAACTTAGCTGCCATTTTAATTTCCTCACAATGTTACCACTCTGAGGTATTGTGAGAAATTACCAATGTAGCTTAGAAAGTGCTGCCGCTTAGTTTCTATGAATTCCCAAGAATGACACTTTATCAAGGCAGAATGAAAACTGTAAGTGGCAGCTATGTTCAGTCATACTTTCCTGAGGTGAATCCACCAGGAACCACTGAGAAGGTTTACCAGAGAGCTGCTGGCCAAGATCCCACTGAATCCTAGAGCGTTTCCAATCATTTCATTTGAATGGCCATCTACATATAATCTTATAACAAATCAATTAGAATAACATTGGGGGAGTTAAATTGGAATCTTAAGATTTATGATTCACCTTTTTCAAGCTGCTATACATTATTCTCCTCCATGTTATTCTGACAACAATCCTGTTAGGCAAATTAGTTTGGGAAAGAGTTATTGACCTCATTATTACTGAATGATTAGAAGATTGCAAACTTGGTTATTTGAATTTGGGATCACCCCAATTCTAATTAAAAGCTCTCAGCCTAACAACACTAGTTTGAGATCCTACATTTTTGCAAGTAATATGCTATAGGAGACTTCTGTTTCTATTTTTTTTTTTAGCTCTAAGTTTGAAAATCTTACTAAGAGCTCTATCGCAATGAATATTTGTTTTTTTTACAGCTTCTCTCCTCCTGCCAATGGAAATCAACTTGAGCAGGATTAGCAATAGAGCTAATGCAAAGGTTATGTAAAGTTGTGCTATGGTTTTTCAAAGCTCTGGATTTTTTCCCATCATGAATACAGATTTCAGTTCAATTCATGAATACAGACTTTGCAATTTCACTTTTGATTTCAAATGCATTTCAATGCAGAATACATTTCTCAGTGTTTACATATCTGCTCATGTTCTATATATACAATTTAACTCTCAGTTAGACACAGGAGTATAATTCACTGAGTTTCCAGCGCAAGCTGTACTGAAATGAATGGTGGGTATGTGCAAGAGCATCATTGTGATTTGTGCCATTCCCAGTCATGTCAGTGGGGCTTGCCTTGGACATACACACTTCATCATTGGAAACAAAACAAGAATAGATTACCCTTTCACAAACACAAAGGAAATGCAGTTTGGGGAGCATGTTATATGTCTGATTTTAATTAACCCCTATCAGAAATCCATTGGACTTTGTCAATTCACACTCAAAGATACACATTTTGTGATACTTTTGAAACATCTGTCAAAAATGACTCAATACATGGCTAAATACTATATATGAAAGATTTGTTTCTTGTTTGCCAATGCAAGGCAAAAAAGAGATTTTTTTTTGGGTACAAGGAGAGTTGCACCAGTTGATTTTTTTTTAGGTTTGTTTTTTAAATACCGTTATTGATTGTCCTCCATGCTTCAAATGTATACTTTTGAACTGAGATTGCTAGATCATTTCTCTAAATGGTTATTTTTACATGCGCTTGCTTTCTTGATATGAAAAATGTAATTTGTTTGAAAGGTTTTTACACAAAGAATCTGTTTTAAAATATATCACACAGAACTTTCTATTGATTTATTCTTTGAAATAAAAATATTTTCCCTGCTTTTTTCAAATTTATTTATTTTTTATTTACCATTTGTGCTGATGATGGACATGATAAACCTGTAACATAAACTAATGAGGGGATTTGGGGTATGCATGATCAGCTTGCTTTTTTTTTATTCTAGTTGGTGTAGAACTTAAGCATAAATGCAAAGAAAAGACAAGCTTGGAATTGCAAGATACAAAAAGGAGATAACTAAGGAACAAACATGAAGAGGAATATTAATTTTTTTATATATTTAATAAAAGAGAGCAAAAAGCTCCAAATTATCATGCTTCCATAGAGCAATTTTGTATAATCTGCCACCCATGCTGGCTGAGAATCTTGGATGTTGCAACTTCAACAGTTGGAGGCAAATGGTTGGGGAAGGTTATCTAATAATATAATTTACATGAAATCATATATGTATGAATATATCCAAGTTTAATTTAATCTTATTGACTGCCTATTACCTCTTTAAAACAGAGGTTTTATGCTTGGTATCTTTGCCTGTTTTATTTCAGAATCTGTCAACCTTCCCCAACCTGATTCATTTCAGAAATGTAGAGATTGTAAGGCCCGGAATTCTCAGGCAGTGGACAGTGGAGATGTATCCTAACAGATCAGCAGGCTACATTTGAGGTATCTTATATCTAGATTAACATCTCTCAACCCCAGCAACTTTCAGACCTGGGGACTTCAACTCCCAGAATTCTCCAGCCAGCATGCACTAATCTAGACTCATTTTCTGCATCAAGCCACACAATTTAGCAATTATTAATCTGAATATTAATAAAGTTTAAAGCATCCCTCAGTTTCACGCTACTGTTGCCAAAGTAATTCCTTTTTGCTCTTATAATAATAACTTCTAGTGTTGAGTCTGAAACATATTTGTCAACCAGTAAGCCCAATGAGTTACTGGGACTTAGCAGTTGCATTAAAGACCATCACTGCAATATTGTGTGCAAAATTTATTCAGTGCATTGTTAATACACCAAATTGTTAACGACAATTCAGGGCTCCCACATATGTTTTTATTAGTTAAAGTATCTTGAATTCACCCTACAGATAGCTGATAACTATCTGTAACTTTCCAGAATGCTGTTTTCTTGGCATTTTTTTGTAAGCATATGTCCCTTTGGTTTACTTGTTTGTGTGGAATGAACATTTTTACTGGCTGAAATTGTTCAGTTTACTGGCAATTTGAATAAATAGATACAGTAATATTGGAAGGGCTTCCTAAGTAACTGGATAATTGAGCAAATGTGAAAAATATCCACACTTACACAGAATCATGTGCAAAGGATTGTTATAACCTTTAACAGTTTTTAAGATAAACATGTGCTTATTGCTTTTGTCTGTGCATGGTGCGTGCATTAGAAGTGGAAGGACAGTACAGCTCGAATTGACAAGAATTACATTCAAGACCAACAGCTATTTGACACCAGAAAAAATACTGATTTGACAAGTGATGGGTGGTTGTTTTCATGGATGCAGTGCATTATTTACAGAGATCCATTTCAGTTTGCCAAGTCCTGTTATTTGAAATGTAATTACTCATGATAGATAAGTGCAGTGCACTCTACTTATCCCCAAACTGTGAAAATCTGGTACAAAATATTTTTTCCCGGGGCCTACCTTCTTACTTTCCTTTTTAAATAAATGGCTTATGTTAAAAAGTTTTTCTATCTGCTGACACAGGCACTCACGTTGAATGCATCTTTGTAAGCCTTTTTTCAGGGAATGAAATAGAAAAAGGAAAAGATGCTTTACTTCCTCCAATACTTTTTTGAATTAGGCTGATCTGAACTTCAGGTCACATTGACTCTGAGTTACCCTTTCATATACGCTCCTTGGTCAATGCTGAAGGTCCATGAATTAAGGTGCCTAACCCTTAGACTGGCTAAAGTCCACATCACCTTGTCCCCTGCATGTGAATACATTATTCTACAAAAAGAAGTCAAGCTTTCAAAGATTTTATAGGTGTGCAAGTTAATGTTAATGTTACACTATATTACAGTAACAAAGGACGAACATTATGTGTTATCATCACAGTTATCGTGCAGCTTGTTACCAGGTGGGTAACAAATCACAGATGTGACGAGGCACAAATAAGGAGAGTGTTTGTTTTTAAAGTGCTAGTGTTTTAAAAATACATTCTCTGTTCTTGATTCCACCCTTGTCATGACATTAACATAAAGTGCTTTGTAATACCAGCAAAATGAAAGGAAATAGTAGGAATTATAAATCCAAGCTGGTGTAGCTGTTTGTGTTTTTGTCAGAAACGGCCTGTTTCAAAATAAAATGGAAATGTATTAAGATTATGGCCTTTATTCTCTTGATATTTATACCTTCCTTCCTATTGTTAAATTCCAGAAGTGCCTATCTTAATGTATATCTCTCCAGATGGCAGGAGGATCATTCCTTGGAAATAACTTTTTTTGCATATTTATGTATTTATAACTTGCATATTTTTGCATTCTACATTATTTAAGTGCAAAATGTGGTAGAAATAAACTTGTTGCTTAGTGACCAGGTAGGTGTAACTCACTTCCCCTGCCCTGTCTATGATGTGCAAATAATTCAGGGAGAAGAAATGGAATATCTTTCCAATATTACTTAATTTCTTTTGTGCTGGAATTGTTCTCAAAGCTAATATGGATTCTTGGTTCAGGCTGCCATTTCTGGCTTTTTTTGTTGTTGTTTTGCTGCTGTTCCTTAGTTTCCCAACTGTTGAGGTTTGGGTGGTACCTTCCAAGGATACCCTTCTCCAACACACAAAAGATTAGATCCACCTGATTTATTTATTTTCAAGAATACATAAAAACATCCATTCATAAAAAAGTATGAAAATCTCTTTTTAAACATCTTACCATATTTAAGTTTGAAAACTACCCTCCTAATCCCAAGTTAAAAACTACATCCCTGATCTCGGATTTTGTATGACTTTTAGCAGAGTCATTTTTTTTTACATATAACTTTGAAGGGATATTTTGGATTTAGTACAAGTGGTGCAACTCACCCTGCTGATTTTTTTAAAAATAAAAAAATAGATTTTAATGCATCTAGAAATACAGAGAGAAATGTTTAAAAGTTTATTTCTCAATTCACTGCATTTGTGATTTCATAAGCCTACCCTAGCCCTGTTCGTCTTCAGACCTTGTATTCATCAGATAAAAAGACATGGATGGGGATGTTTGGAATAGTTACCTTTAAGCATAACGTGTTGCGTTTCTGATCACATCTACCATTTTTTTCCAGTATTTGACTACAGATGTCTAGATCACTTTAAGATGACAATGCAATTCAGATACTGGTATTGCCATAAAAGAGGTCTATGTTTAAGGAGTGAATGAATGGAAGAATTGGTCACACTGACTTCTGTAAAGGAAGTTGAAAGGAGATCAATTTATGATCAAGATGTGCACAAACTTCATTTTACTTAATGACTGTAGTGTGGTTGGAGTAAGAATTTGGAGTAGATTCGGAGGAGGTATTATCCTTAATCCCATTTCAAGAAATCCTTCTGATTTTTACAAAACAGGTGGCTTGTTCAGTCAAAAGTTCATGCCATGCAGAATCTTTTCTTTGTGTGTCAAGTGTAAAGGCATTCCTATCAGTTGTTAACCAACATTCTGCAGCACTGATCAGATATTTTTATCATGTTTATTACTATGTCCTCCTCCACCACCACCTCCTCCACCTGGTAATATGTGAACCTCAGGTGAAATATGATTATCTAATTTGATAGTTTCCTGGTTAGCATGGGTTCTTCCAGTGATATTTTCCATGGAATAAAGGCAATTTTGCCCTAAAAACTTGGGTGTAGAGGACAATGCAGCAATTGCTAAGTGGTCCTTCTCGGTTTTACTAACATTATCTCGTTGCCTTATATAGCCTCTCTGAGAAGTGTTATATTTGGGGCTAGTATGTCCTGAAGGGGCTTTTGGAGGACTTGAATCATAGAGCAACTGACCTTCATCATCTGTGTCAGCATCAATAAATTTATGAATGCCAGCATCATGGAAGTTAAGAACACTCGGTGTCTGTTTCTCAGGTGACTTTGTAGGGGTTCTAGCACTTGCAGTCGTATAAATAGAAGTTTCTGGACTCATTAGAGATCGATCAGAATATCCAGAGCTTTCTGTGGCAGCACATGTAGCTCCCCTGTTCTTGATGGTATCTGGGTATATTCTTAGGACATTTGAAGCTGCTGGCCCTATAGCATCCTCTTCCATAAAATTAACCTTTAGAGATCTCAGTTTCAGAGGATTAATGAGTTTTATTGAACTTTTGGGACTCTCTATGAAAAAGGTAGAGCAATGGCCACTTTCCAGATTTGGTTTTATTTCCATGAATTTGGACCCACTTCCTTCCAACCTATATGGATCCTGAAGGGGAAGTTTTCCACCTTTGCTGGTCAGTGTAGTCAGTGGGCTATGAGAATATCTCCCAACTTCAGGAAATTCAGTCATGCAGCTTATATAACTATCAATGCTTGACATGCTTCTCATGTCAATTATTCCATCTGCCCGAGTAGTCAACAAAGGGACCATTGGGCCAGGAATGGCCTCCATTTCTAGTTCTTCTTTTTGCTTGCTGGGTTGAGCTGTCTCCTTTAAATTGAGATTTGGCTGTGACTGAGCTTTTGTCATTTTGTTGTACATGTCTTCAAGTTGCTGAACATTCAGGTGCTGAGGACTGGAGGAAGACCTAGCTTTTTCAGGTGATCCTTGTTCCTTTGTCTCCAAGGATTTATTGGAGCTAGTTTCAGAGATTGATCTTTTGGCCCATTTCCATTTGCTTGGGGATAAATGATTGTCCTGAACTTTATCTTTTTTGCCTGCATTGTCTCCTTTCTTTTCAACAACTATGTCCATCAATTCTATACTACGTGCAAAAGCATCCTTCATATTCATGGACACAATGCTTCCATTCCTTTTGGCTCTTTCAAGGGCTTCCCTACGCTTAATGGCTTTTTCTTGCCTCTTCTGTTCTTTGTAGAACTCTGAAAAGTTATTTACAATGATCGGGATTGGAAGGGCAATCACTAAGACTCCAGCAATACAGCATAACCCACCAACAATCTTACCTAAAAGAGTTTTAGGGTAGATGTCTCCATAACCAACAGTTGTCATAGTTATTGTTGCCCACCAGAACGATGCTGGTATGCTCTTGAATTTTGTATCTTCCTCATCTTTTTCTGCAAAAAACACTAAGCTTGAAAAGATCATAATGCCCATGGCCAAAAACAAAATAAGTAATCCAAGTTCATTGTAACTTCTCCTCAATGTAAATCCCAGAGATTGCAAACCAGTTGAATGCCTGGCCAGCTTTAGAATACGGAGTATCCGCATGATTCGAAATATCTGGACTACCCTCCGGACGTTTTGGAACTGAAGTACACTTTTGTTGGATTCTGTGAGGAAGATGGTGACATAATAGGGCAAGATTGCTAACAAGTCAATAGCATTCAGTGGTCCTTTGAAAAATTTCCATTTCTTAGGAGAAGAGAGGAAACGCAAGAGATATTCCATTGTAAACCATGCGATGCACACTGCCTCTACGTGGGCTAGCTGAGGGTTATCTGTAGGATTTCCATACTCATCTGCGTCCTGAAGCTCAGGCAGAGTGTTTAGAGACAAGGCAATTGTAGAGAGCACAATGAACATGATGGAAATAATGGCCAAAATCTGCAAAAAAAAGAAGAAAAATAGTCAGTACCACAAATAAATTACATAGTAATAGTATTCTTTTGATTTATATATTGTTTTTTCTTGGATATTGGCTATTAGCCATCCATTACTTATTTAAGGACAGCCATATAAATTTCTAAATAAATAAACAAATAAAACTGAAATAGGGGTTGTACTGATTTCTAGAATCTCTTTCAACTCCATAGTTTTTGATTCCCAGACTGTCTTCCATCTAAGTATCAATCATGCCTCATCTTGCCTAGTTTTTGAGATGAGAAAACTGTAACTCCTCAGTTTACTTTAAAAGGCATTACAGCATAGTTTCACAACATTAAAGTCTAAAATGAACTTTTTTTTTACGACAAGCCAAGTCTGCTTCAAAGGTGAATGGTATGCATGATACCAAGGTCTTATTGTACAGTCATTGCATATGTTCCTCTCCAGGGATTTATATTCCACTCAAATGGCTTACATCCTTCAAAAATACTAGCAACACATAATAAAACTGTAATGTGTGATGTAAAATATCAGCCACCTAATAAAACAGCAATAATAATATACAAAACACAATCAAAGCACAGTGCTAAGGCCCAGCACATCATATATCATCTGCTTGACCAGATAAAAGCTGGATGGAACAATTTTTCATTAAACAGTGAAATTAAACAAGAGTGAAAGAGGACTACTTATTTCATAATTTGGGTGTGGCTACCAAGACCATCCTTTCCCTTGTCCAGAATAAGTATGCATTATGAATACTGTTATATTGTAAATAATATTGTCTTTTATCCTTAGGCTTTTCCCATCTCTAAATTGGGAGAAGTTGTTTTATAAGTTCTAATTATAAGATATGGCAGGAAACAGTTAATAGTCAGGAGGTGAAAATGGCTGCAGAAATTTCCTTGGGAAGAGCGAGTCTCTTCTTTATTACTTGTCCAACGAACGTTTACTCTTTTTAAAACTCCGAGACAGGATTTAAAATTTGCAGCTTCTGTTGGATAATGAGATTGGGAATGTGTGTATGCAGTGCTTTTTTTTTTTTTTTAAAAAAAAAAAAGGTGCCAGAACTCACACACATTATACAACCCGCCTTGCCTACCCTACAAGGTTCCATCCCAAAAAGTTGCCGGAACTCTGCTCTGGGTGTTCTATGACAAAAAAAAAAGCCCTGTGTGCATGTGTCTGTGCTTGTGAGTTTCAATGTGAGAAAAAAAAATCTTTATGTTTGTGAGAGTTCAAACATACAGTAAGCAGATTGAGAAAATGGGTTCATTATTTATTTATTTAAATTTATTATAGCTCCCCGGTTCAGTAGACCCTGGGCAGCTCTCAGCAAATAGGCTTTCTTATTTTTAGAGACAATTTAAATTAATTATTAGGAATGCAATTAATAATAATATTTTGGCATTGCCCTGCCCCCTTTCTGGAGTGCTTCTGCTAGCATCTATACACTTGGATGTATACATGTATTTCACACATATATTTATTAGCAGGAGGTCTGGTTTCAAATGTAGTTTCAAAGTCTAGGTCCGTGGTGGCGAACTTATGGCACGCAGAGCCCTCTCTGTGGGCACGCACGCTGTAGCCCCAATCCTAGGCTTTCAGCTGGGTTTTATAAAACCTTTTTGCTTTAGGCCTCCACTGCCGTGTGCAAAAAAAAAAAAGGTTCAATCAATCAATCAATCAATTTCAATTTCTCACGGGAAAAAAAAGGTCTCGCAAAGTTGGAATTGATTGATTGAACGTTTTAGTCCCACCCAGTCTGGTGTTACCACCGCAGCCACGCCCACCCAATGGGCCATGCCCACTCAATGGGCCACACCCACCCAATGGGCCACGCCCACCCAGCAACCGACAATACATAAGTGGGTTTTCGGTTGCAGTTTGGGCACTCGGTCTCTAAAAGGTTTGCCATTACTGGTCTAGATTGACAAGATGGGATGCTTGCATAGGATTTGTGTTTATCATTTTTTTCCTGTCTACTTTCCCTTCTTAGAGGCAAATCAGTTTAAATTCAGCCTGTCTTCTGTAGACTAAATATCGTTAAGTATCAACAAAAGCCTCTTAAATGATCAAACACTGAAGGCACTAAATCCATGATAATATTAAAGAGGATGATTTAAAGCATTTCAGGTTTTTGTCTTTATACTGGTTCAGTAGCACTGTTGATATTATTAAAGTAACACTGTATTGTCAAAATAACTCTTATTACATGTGTGAAACAACATTTAGGAACTTTTCCTACTATGCTGTTGTTGACCAAATTTTCTTATGCTTCATCTGCCCAAATGCAGCATGGATTTTGTAGTTTAACCTCAGATAATTTTCTAGTCCATTGCAAAAAAAAATTAGCTCTTATCAGCATTTCTGTCTTGAAATATAATATGTAGACAAACAGATTCTGGGAACACAAAGTAACAGCTGGTTTCAGGAAAACTCTTTAATTACTTAAGCCTTGTAAATCAAGACGTCTCACATTTAATTTTGGGACTTTGGGACAATCATTGTTAAAGAGATCAGGAGTACTAAACATAATTCTAAGTAAAGGTTATTGATTGTATGAACCAAACACATATTTCTTCTAAATTTTTCCATTACAAGCATCTTTTCATCATATTTCACAAGACCTAGAATGAAACTGCTATTAAGCCAGGTCAGCATTATCATTAAGCATAGGAAAATGGATGTCCCTATCTATCATTCTTCCTATGGGTATTACAACAGAGCATCAAATTGATTCCAACTTTTTACTGATGAACTCAAGTTGGCATACATAGTGCTCCTTCTTCAATTTCTTCCCATAACAATCACGCAAGTAGGTTGGGCTGAGAGAAAGTGAGTGACCCAAGTGATCTTCTGTGACTGAAGGTGACAAAATCTGGGTCTTTTCAGTGTCAGTCCAACACTTTAGCCATTATATCTATTAATGTTTACTGCCAATGGAGAAAATTACCAATAGGCTATTCTGTCAAATATACTGAAATAAGTGGACCTGGAATTAGTTGTGTCCATAACAAGAGACAATAATGTCACATAAAGTATATGCAGATAGCATCATACATTGCTGGAACTATGTACTTGTGTCCTGCTGGCTGATGTAAATTGAGCATAATCAAACAATCCTATCATTTGCTCCCCTTGTCCCCAAATACCTAGGTTTTAAATAATTATGTGTCTTTGTATGGACAGAAGCTTTTCTTCAATTGGGAGTTTACAGCAGCTGCCGCCAAATGCACGGCAATACCAATTTTATCCCCTGCTCATACAATACAAGCACTTTCTCTCACCCCTGCTCCATAATTTAAGTTTTCCTATTTCCTTGAGACATCTTTCCTCTTAAACAGCCCTCACACGATGACGCGAAAGCTTCATTGCACTTCTGTTCCCCTTTGAAATACTGTGATCACAGAATCAAACCAGACTATTGGTTATTGTATCAACCAATGATACAATTGAGCTCCTTCAAAATATGCATATTCCCACCTATGAAGACTTCCACCAAACAAAAGGACAGTATAGTGCCACAGCAAGGGTGATGATTTAAAACACAAATGATTATTTGTTGCTTTGTTGGGATCTGTTTTTACTTACTCTCACTTCCTGTCTAAGTTCCAGACCTCAGGAACTTCTTAGAGATGGTATGTTGTGAAGAAGATTCAATTGCTCATAGCAAGGCTGCATGTGGCAAACTGACTCATAGCAAGAGGTTCTGTTTTCTTTTGTAATCATAACACCAAAAGGTAGCACTTCTAAGGGACTGCTTTAGTACTGTACATAAGGTATTTCCCCATCTCTTTCATTACAAAATGTTAAGTACAAAAAGTAGCGTTTGGTGATTTTCAGTTTGGTTCAATCAGCCAGATGCCAATAGAGCATGTATTAGAATTTTCTCAAAGGGATTGTAATGTAAAATGAAATCAAGAGAAGATTTAATAACAGAAGGATACATTTGTCAATAGTTTGCTTATATGCAATTAATAAAAAGGTTTAAAATGGATAAACTATTTTACCATTTTAAATAAAATAAGACCAAGTTTGAAATAAAATTATATACTAATGATGAACATGTTACTGCTAAAATGTTTTGCTGAAATTGAAAGAATGTATGACAAAATGGGCTAAGAAGTTTGGCTATAATATTCCAGTAGGACCAATAGGAAAATATATGGTTGAAATGATTGAAATTTACATTATGTTCTAGTCTAAAATTTTTTATAAAATGATGTGTCATAGAAGCATAAGAGACTTTGGAGGTTTTCTAGTCCAAATATTGTTGGTATGTGTCACCAGAGAAATTGTCTAGAAGGTATAAAGACATTTTGGATCTTTGCTGGAAATGCAAACAATATGAAGGGACATTTTATCATACTTGGTGGACATGTAAAAAAGCTTAAAAATGGATAGAAATTCACACACTAATTCGTAAGTTTTAAAAGGTGAAAATACAATTGAAACCAGGGACCTTTATTTTGGGACTAATAAACACCATTAGACAAAAATCATGGAAAGTTTTTCTTATATATGATAACTGCATTAACATTATTATATGCTCAAAAGTGAAAAGGTTCAATGCTTCACAATGGAGGACTGGCTAGTGAAGATGATGGAACTTGAGAGGGCTAAAATAATTTCTTTGATTAGATAAAAAACAATATCTACATTTATGGCTGATTGGAAAACCTATATAGATTTTTTGTATAAAACATAAAAATGTACTTATGATTTGTGGTTTAATGATTAGAAAAAAATGAATAAAAGAAAAGAGGGAGCTTTCTTTTGTAATCATAGAGTAAGAGCTAATTTTGCAAGCATACTAATATTTGCTTCAAATGAAACCAGAAGCTTCTTCATTCTATTTCTCTTTATTCTCTCTTTCTGTCTGTTTACCTTTTTCTTTATTGCTTTCTCTTTGTGTTAGCTTTTATGTTCTTTGTAAAACTTTCAATAAAAATTATTTTAAAAATTGTTACTATTTTTAAGTCAGACTTCCAAATGGA